GGGCGGCGGGGCCACCTGCTCCGGGCTCCTTTCCTTTGTCAGCCCAGGCTGGGTGCCTCCTGCCTTGCGCCTCTGCTGGGGATGTCTCTGCCCCGGCTCCAGAGTGTTCCCAGCTGCTGCGCCCCATATATCCCATGCATGAGTATAGCCTACGCGGAGGGGGGTGCGGGGTTTGTAAAAACGAATATGGCCCGTGGGTTATATTCGCTAATAGACAGTAATGGTACAGTCATGATGGAAAGCCCTTACACCCAATAATTAAGGTTTGCAGGATCAAGTCTTTAGTTTGGATACATTCATAGCTAGAGTGAGCAACATTTTGTAATGTACAGTACTTAATCAGATATGCATCAAATTAGAAATTATATAGAACATCTAACATGAAATACAAATACTGTAAGGAAATGAGCCACCTCCAACTGATATGAATCTTCCCAGTAAAACTCTTGGATCGTGACTATGTACATTTAAATACACTTGGATAAAAAAGAATAACTTTCTGGTGGAAATCTCTTCTTCATTAGACATTTGTTATATTACTCGTGAACTTAGTAGTAGACCAATTTGTTGCGTATGTGATGAATCAGGTACACTTGTTTTTCTTCCAATACTCTGTCAGTTAAATTAAGAACACTTCACTTTTTTCAGAGAAGAAGATACAAGTCAGTCAAGAAAATGGCTTTTGGAAGTCTGATTATATTTTTAATGTTCCTCAGCAAAGCTACATTTGGTAAGCATAAATCAGTATAATATTGACAATAAAACATGGCATTATTTGGTATACTAATGGTATTTGGGCGATTTTCTTTTTTTAACAATTTTATTTTTTTGAAAAATGCAATTTTTAGTTGACTGACACTATTTGTGAATTTGGGTCAAATATGGCAAATAGATGCCCCAACATATTTTTATTGAAAAAGTCTAAATATTTTGTTTCAGAAATGTCAAAATGAAACATTTCAACTTTTTGTTTTTAAAAGACATTTTATTTAGAAATTTTAATAAACAAATCAATCAAAAAGGATTTGGATTTTTTTTATTTCAGCTACAAAAGTGGAAGAATTTTCATTTTGAGTAGACTGGTTTGGCCACTGAACTGAAAAGTCAGTTATTTGTGCAGTCCTAGTCAGTAACTTATAATGCAGTGTGTTTCTGCTTCTACTTTCTTTTGCAGTATTGGAATCTACAGTACAGGCAGTCCCCGACTTACGAATGGGGCTTTTCTCGCCCTGGAGCTCATGGGCGGCGGGTCGCCACCCGTGTCCTCCAGGGCGAGAAAAGCTTCTCCCGGTCTCCCTGGTCTGCTGGGGGCGGGGGGTCCAGCAAAGCTGCTGGACCCCCCCAACAGACCAGGGACACCCGAGCAAAGCCGCCGCCTGGGCGGCTTTATGAGCAAAGCCGCCCAGATGGCGGCTTTGCTCGGGCGTCCCTGGTCTGCCGGGGGGGGCCAGCAGCTTTGCC